AATTGGCTTCGCTTAACTCACGAACTTTCGCCAATTGAGAATAAAAGTCAAGCCAGCAAATTTTTGGTCGTTTTGAATGTTCCGAGGTATTATTACCATTAGGCGAAAATCTAAAGGACAATTTCATATAAAAGGACCTATTGTTAAAACTGAACGATTAAATGTTTGTATCATTTAACTCGCGTACATGCAAAAGTAATACCTTCTCCAAGAATATGCTGCAAAGCTACAGTACAAGTAGATATAGATATAATTGTGCAAAGAGTAATATTTATTTATCAATTTTCAAAATTTCATTGCCTATTAAAAAAAATAAATCAAGCATTACTATTATTGTAAAAAGGCAAAAGTGAGACGTACCGATTATTTCTTTCTTTGGAAGAAAATCAACGTCAATCGATCGTGATTATTTTCTACGTGATTTTTTACGTGTATACATAATTAATTGGTCGGTTATTGATTTATGAGTAGATTTTAATTAAATGCATGTTTTCAAATGCTTTTTTAAAATTTTTTTTTCATCAAAAGGTACAAAATTAGAAATTTAATAACATCATAAACATCATAATTCTTTAATATTAAATTGACAATTGTAAATGCATTGATAATAAATTGATTGCATATTTGTTTGTTCTCTTAAAATATTCTTATTGAATTCAATAAAAGTCATTTAAGTAATGATATACGCAAAATCGGAACAGTTTGAGAGAGTTACTATGAGTCCATTATGATCCATATATACCATGGATTTTACGTGTTTTTTTGATTTTCTATTTCACGTGGGAAATTTGTATAAGCTTTAATTTGGAATTATTTACTCTGGTTAGATGGGAAGGAAGAAAGATGAAACATAAATAACTAAAGCCAAATATGCATATCAGCAAACTGGAGAGGGACACGAAACGATAAATGCATAAATCGATCCATAAATATTTTAATTTTTAATTTTATGGATTACTAGAAAAGTGTTTTTTTCATCTCGAGAAATCCTTCAATAAAGACGAGAAAATCCAGAAGATTGCAGATGTGTATGCTTAAAATTAAAGGTTGTTTGGTTATCTGATTAACATTGAAGATTTGCGTTCATTGTATTAATATATTTATTTATTAAATTAATATTAATATTAATATTAAGTTATATGCGTTTGTTATACATGTTATATTTGTATCACTGTAAAAATTAATGTCAATTTCTTCATTGATTGTTAGTGCAAACAAATTATTGGGATTGTTAATAATTAATATTATTATTGCTTATTATTGTCATTACTAATAATAATTACCATAACTGAAATTTCAATAAACACAGTAGAATTAAAATTAAAATTTTCCCACCAAACTCTGGTGGTGGTGGCGTTTATTATTTTTTATATCGATTTATTATTGATAAATAATAATAAATAATAATAATAACAACAAACACAAATCACATCAAATTTAATTTTTACCAAAATTTGATTTGTTTGATTTTGATTGATGGTTTTACACTGTGATCCTTCCCCTCCTTCTCCACTCTCCTTCCCGCCGTTATAAAAAATTACTCGTTCGCATATCTTGTTACACTCTTCTTAAAGTGATAATCGTGAGTGTGTGAATGTTTTAATTTTAAAAATACTGGATTTTAAACAAGTTGGTTAACAAAAATGATAACGGAATACCCAGAATTTAAGGGATGCTTTTAATCTTATTCGGCCTGAATTAATTGAATTTTTTTAATACTAAAAACTATTGAATTCAATTTCTGGAATCTAAACAAGAAATAAACCAATAAAAACGATGTAATGTGGTGTAATGTGGTGTAATATTATTAGTTGTTAGCCCCGGGTTGTTGATTATCTGATTACTTGACAAAATTGTTTTATTAAAAAAAAAACCGATTTCTAATTTTTTAATTGTAGACTATGTCATCTATGTCAACTATGTCATCACTTTATCGTTATAAATCGCAAACTCAATTTTTTTATCACAGCTAATTTTTTTTTTTTTAAAACAATGGATTCTTGTTGATCATATTTTTGATATACATATATGAATAATGCATATATACACGCATATATACACGCATATAATGCATATATATTAAATAAAAAGAATCCATACATAGGAATAAAAAAATATTTCTTTTAGATTGATTGACAGATTGATAGAAATTTTTTTTAAAAAAAAAAAAGTAAATAAAGTATCTTTATTCGTTTAACAGTTGTTGTTGTTGTTGTTATAATAATACAATAATACACACATTATAACACGGTATTTGGTATATTAATTGAAACAAAAGGGTCTGACAGTCTGTAAATAGAAAAAAATAATGAGAAATGGGAAATTGGAAAGGAGAATTATGAAATTAGGATTATAAGCTAACTAATTTACAACCATTACAATTATTATTTACGATTATTATTATGATTATGAATATGTGAAGGATGTCAAACAAATTCGCTTTATTCCTTTCCTTATTTCCCAATAATAATAATTAAAATTATTTTTAGTTGCATACTTGAATGTATGATTTTCATGTTCATATACAGATTATAGATAAAGAAGTAATAATGTATATGCTTGTATATATATATGCGTAGATCAAAAGAATTAGGTAATGAGTTGGTCAATGAGTTGGGATGGTATGTTGCTTTTGCTTTTTTATAGATATGGAAGTTGCTTTGGCTAATTAATTAATTAAAGTAGAATTATTAATAATTATTATATATATAGTAAGCAAGCATAATTAAATTAATAAATACATAGTCCAAATAAATCTTTATTTTTTTTCCGTTTTCGAGGAATTAAATTTTTGGTTTTTTTTATGTACGTGCGTGTGCATGTATGTATGTGTTGTTGTGCTGTATATGCTATGTGTAGATTCATATAACTAATATAATAATTGATATTTTTTTTTTATCAATGATCTTTTTTTGCTTATGATCTTTTTTTATTTTTTGTTCAAGGAATAAAAAAAGCTTCATTCACTCACTCATTCAATTAATTTTAAATTTGACTTTTTTTTATTAATTATAATCTTTGTCCAAAGTAAGTAATTATACACAAACACACCACAAAAAGGTTCCTGCAATTATTTACTAAATACAACGGAAATTAAAACTGGAATAAAAGCTGGAAACAATAAATAAATAAATAAAATATTATATTCCACATTCTTTAATTAATCAATCAATAGATCTTGTTAATTCATTATTTGTCTAGCAAACAATTCATCTTTAACCATCATCATCCATCAACTATTTTACCAGCACAACACTTTATTGAGTCCAATAAACAGAAATTTGGAACTATTTTTTGTTTTCTCACCTGATGCTAAATATGAATGTTCATTATTTCACTACATGTATGTATATTATTACTATTATTATTATTATTATTATGTTTTTACCCCACATTGTTTGTTTATTATTATTATTATTTATTTATTTATTTATTATTTATTATATAACAACAACATTTAATAATAGTAGTAACAATTAGCAAATATGTTTTTTAATTTAATTTAAAAAAAATTTAATTTACTTATTTTTTCCCTCCCTTTTCTTTTCTTTATCATTCATTATTGCCATTCCATCTATTTCCATCTAGTTCCTTATTATCGGCGAACTAATTAATAAATGGTTAGATAATAATAGGCTATTCAGTATTGGGGGGGGGGGGGAGAGAGAGAGAGAGAGATAAGTAGTTCCTTTTAATATTTTGTTTTAAAATGTATAAATTAAAAAAAAAAATTTTTTTGTTTATTATTAATAAGTTACAATTATAATAATATATGGCAATTGGGTAATTTCAATATATATATAAAATCAAACAAGGAAAATGTAGATTCTTTACTTTTTCACTTTTCACTCTGACTCTCACCATTTTTTCACTTTCTTCACTCTCTCACACCACTATTTTCTTGAATCAAGGGATCAACCTTATTGCCTGATAAATCTGTTATTAACTTAAAAATTTAAGTTGGAAAATCTATCTTAATTATCTTAATTTAACCTCCTTTCTTTTTTTTTTAGTAAAAAAAAATATTTTTTTTTTTTGAGGGTAGTTGTAACCCATTATAATATATATATAGATAATAATAAAGTTAGTTAAGTTTTAGGGGTGATTGTTATAATTATCATCATTGAAAAAAACAGCTAGTTACACCACTTCATTATGATTGATTATATATGGTGTCGTTGTGTAACACCTACCACCTTACATTGCATCCATTTATTTTTTTTTTATCAATCAGAGCTACTTTTTTTTATTTTATACGTGAAATATATTTTTTTATTCCGTCGATACTTAAATGTTAATAATAATAATAATAATAATAAAAATATCCTCTTGATCAATATATTCTTTCTTCTCTTTCACCTCTCTCTACTACTCTAATAATATTCTTTTCTTAATAAAAAAATATATATTTCTCATAATTTTTATAATTCCTCCAAACACACAAATCATCAATAATACGTCATCATCGTCAGTTCGTCATATATCATAGATAATTCAATATTATTGCACAAATTTATATAACCTTTATGTAGGATATACGTTTATTTGCATATATATATAAATATTTAGTATTAAAATATACTATTATTTTAATTTCTTGTTGCTCCTATTGTTCTTGACATATTCACGCGCTCAAAACTTTAATTTAAAAAATATATAATTTATATTAATTTTTATTTAACACACATATATAACATAAATATATAAATATAATCGTCTTTTCTCTGGAAAATTAATTTTTTTATTCTACATCAAAATTTAGTCGTTTTCTCTCGAAAAAATAAAACGCTAAAAAATTAATAATAATAATAATAAAACAAATAATATTAATATTAAATATTATTTTTTTGTTCATAAAATTATATACCTCTATATATATATATGTATATTAATAAAAAATATTCTCTTTTTTGAATATTATTAAAATAAATTATTCATCATCTTTTCCAACCTTCTCTCCCTCTCTCTTCTTCAAGAATTTTTTTTACATTTGACAAAAAATGACTTTAAACGATACAAATTATTTTGATCCAGCAGAACGTATTGGAAAATTTATTGATAATGGGTTATTAGAACTAACTCATATACTTGGAGTAGGTGCATACGGTGTAGTATACGGTGCCAGACATGTCAAAAATAGACGCCTTTATGCAGTCAAATGTATTCCAAAACAACAACCTCAACAAGATCATATTAACCATAATCATATTTTGAAACAACAAAAACTTCAAACAGCAGAAATTAATTTTCATTCACAAGTTTCGGGTCACCCAAATATAATTAGACTAGAGAAAGTGGTAGAAACTCATGACAGTGTAAACATGATAATGGAATTTTGTCAGGATGGCGATTTGTTTTCCATGATCACAGAGAAAGGTGGCTATATTAACAATGATAGGCTTATTAAAAAAGTTTTTGTCCAAATTCTTGACGCTGTGAAATTTAGTCATCTTCATGGAATTTATCATCGTGATTTGAAACCAGAAAATATTTTGGTCTTTGATAATGGAAAAACCGTCAAGCTTGCTGATTTTGGCTTGGCTACAAATGATTCATGGTCAAAGGATTTCGGTTGTGGTTCTACATTTTATATGAGTCCAGGTAATTATCTAAAAAAAAAAAAAAAATCATTTCTATTCAACCATCCATATTTATCCCATCCATACTCATTCATCAAATTAATTAATTCTTTCTCCTACAAAATTTAGAATGTCAAGGTGGATTGTACAAACGTGTAAGGGGTTACAAAACTGCTCCAAATGATGTTTGGTCTCTGGGTGTAATTTTAATCAATCTTACTTGTGGTCGTAATCCTTGGAAACAAGCTTGTTTACGTGATGAAACTTTCTCGGTGTTCTTGAGAGATCCAGATTTCCTAAAAACAATTTTACCATTGACAAACGAGCTTAACGGAATCTTGAAAGAAATTTTTTCATTGGATCCTGACAGACGTATTTCTTTGGATGATTTACGTGATCGTGTACTTGCTTGTCGTAAATTCACCACTTCAGAATATGATGTGTTCTATGATAAGAATTTACGTAAATGTGAGATTGAGAATGTCAATGAAGAAGAAGAAGAAGAAGAAGAAGAAGAAGAGTGTTGTGAAGAAGAAAGGAAACTTGATGATGAGCAAGATCAAGATGAAGATTTGTTTGATAATAATGATGATGTTGATGAAAATGAAAATGAGGACGATTATGATGTTATTGATAAGCAAAATAATCATAGAGATGATTCTTCTTCCTCTTCTATTGCTTCAAATTCGTCGTCACTTACGGCCTGTTCTTCGTACTATTCCTTATCAGAAATGGACTTTAACATTGAGTTTGACTTTTTAGAGGTTGAAGGCCTTGTTAATACTCGTGACAACAACAACAACAACAAGATCTGTGATATTGACGACGACATTGGGAATATTCAGCAGCATCATCACCAACATCAACAACAGCAGTATCCAATTACTTCTGCAGGCTCTTCATCTTCGATGTCTACACTGGCAAATAGTAATTCTGATGATCCTGATTTAATGAATAGTAAATACAATATTATCATTGATGATGACATTAATGATGATGACATTAATGATGATGACAATAATCATTATATTAATAAAAATGACATTTATAATGACATTAACCACAACAATTTAAAATGCAATAGTCATCATAATCTACTTCATTTAGAAAATCATCAAACTATTTGTTACTCATACTAGAAAACAAAAACATTGGTAATCATTTTATTATTATTTTAATAATAATAATAATTAGAATGATAATAACAGTAAAATTATTTTTCTTTTTTATTTTTCTTTTTTTTTCTTTTTTTTTCTCTCGATAAAAAATCAAAATCGTCAAAAGAATTTTTTTGTTTTTTTTTTTTTTAATATTTATTTTTTTTTAAAAAAAATTAAAATATTACAATCTTTATATCTATACTTTTTTATAAATAGATATAAAGATAATTCCCTACTTTCATTTGTACTATTTTTTATTTTATTTTTTTAAATTCGTTTTTTAATTTATTTTTTTTTTTCGTTTTTTTATTTTCACAAAAAGAAATCACAAACACAAACAAACTCGAAATTTTTATTTTAAATTTTTTTTTCACGGAGTTTTTTTTTTATTTTTTTAGTTTTTAAATTATTTAATCCATCATAATTTAAAAATTTAAGATTTTATATATATATAGTTATAATTTATATTTACTCACTTCACACCACATAATCTATATATATATATAAATTAAGATTTTAAACATCATCCATTTAACTAAGAGAACCTAAAAATTTCCCGTTCACACATTTTCTTTGTAAATATTTTTATTTTTTTAAAAAATTTTGTTCCAAAAATTTATCCTTGTACATATAGAAAAAAATTATATAGATACATATAATTTTTTTTTTTGTTTATATATATTTCTAAAAACACGAGAATTTTTATTATTTTTTTTAAAAAAAAAAGAAAATTTTAAAAAAATTTTTAAAAATACATAAAATGAATAAAAATACAAAAAATTATATATCTTACTGGTTAAGAAAAACGTTATAACCAAAAAACAAAAAAAGTAATTGTGTATTATTATTATTTACGTTTATTTATTACTACTTAATTTGATGAGGCCACATCACCGAATTGATGATAATCGTAAACAAAGCAATTTTAAAATATATTTTAATTGGGCAAAATTTCATCTGTGCTGTGAGAATTTACAAAACTCTCCCTTTCACTTAAGAATAAATATTTATTATAGTTACTAACCAATAATTGCAGAAGATTCTCAATAAACAACATTTGTGGTGATTGTCGCAGAAAGCGTTGAACGATCGAAATTTATTTCATCCATTCATATAAAATAAAAAAAATTTTTTTTTTATTGAGCCACATGATGATTTATGAATCATCGATACTAATACTAATCAATCGATACGAGAATTTCGAATTTTGTCATTCCATTTAATATTAAAATCGATGACTTACTTGTATTTCATTACAAATATATATATATATCGAATCCCGGATTAGTCACATAAATTCGAATCATACATTGTTTATTATGAAAAAATTCTGAAATGAATATCAGAGTTACATAATGTCCCAATACATTACCAACTAGCTCTGTATGTAGTTGCAAATCCACCTTCGCCTATCTTTTCAATATTTGTTTAACAAGTAATCCATTCAAGATAAATAATATTGATTATCATATCTCGTTGCTTTAGGCTATATGTTTTCAATCAATTCTCCTACTGTTCATTGTCACTAGTCCATTCTTCAATTCATAGTTGTGGAGCACATGGTTTGACACCACATTGACACCATGAATAATTAGTATTTTATCTATCTATTAGAAGTTGAATAACCATAATCATTGTTGTATCAATAGAAATACTGTTTTCATGCTTGTTTCGTTTTAATAGAAAAAAAAGTTTTTTTATTGTTATTATTGAATAATGTACGTGTGTGTGCATATGTAATTTTTTTCATAAAAAAGCGACTAACGAATTGATTTTTCGGAGTTTACAAAAACATATAATTAATATATTAATATTAATGTCAAGTTCACATAATAAATAAAACTGTATGACGAATTAGTATTGGTAATTCTGTGTTTGGCATAGCGTATTTTAAATGAATTTTTCTTATTATTATTGTTATGCATCCGTTATCACATTGTCATAGCTCTTTAATAGAAGTCTTGATGAACTTCTATTATTCATATGCTAATACTAATACTAGGAGTAGAGATGCAATCCGTGGATGATCAATTCGGATATCCGTAAAAAAATCCGTTCATATTCGTATAGCTTTTAAACTATAATGTTAAGATTGCAGATAAAAATTTTAAAATTTATGTGAATAAACTTTTAAAAAGGGACATATTGTAACAAAACCAGACAAAAGTGAACATTTGTATTACCAAGAATTACATTGATCATTATCATCACAATTATAATTATAATTTTTAACTATTACTATAATAATAACGGTTTATAATAATAATCATGTCCTCTTATAATATAGAATTACCCCTATATTTAGGGTTGTTAAATGGAGCATAATGTTCTGGCATCAACCCGGGTTGCTCCAAATTATTTTAGTTGTTAATTTGTTAATTTTGATTTCTTTGTTCGCGAATTTTATCATGAATAAAAAACAGAAAATTTATGAGAAATACTTTCAGATAGTGAGCCTGAACCATCAGGTGAATCATTATTAAATATAAATAGAGAAGAAAGTGAGATTAATTTGATTTTTAGTCAAGAAGATAGTTACTACTCCTACAACTATAACTACTACAAGTACAATTACTACAAGTACAACTAATACTATACAAGAAAATGAATCTAATTCATCAATACTTCGCGCGAAACTTCTTGGGGTTGGGAATTTTTTTCAAAAGAATATAATGATAAACAAGAAATTATTACATATATTTGTATAATGTAAAAAATTTTTTTATTATAATTATTACTCCATGGAGCTACCCGAAGTAACCCGAAGCAACCCATGGAGTATTAACCAGTACATTTAACCCGTGTTGGGTTAGGTTAACCCTTGCTCCACTATAATATAAACCCAACCCAACCCATTATGTTTCCATTAACAACCCTACCATATATTATTAATATGTATAATATGAAATCAATTTATTATTATATCAGATCTGCTATTGGACAGACCCTCGATTATAATATTTTTTTGTGCGTGATCTTTTTTGGAATTTTGTTAATTAAATGAGATACCTGCCTGTTTTCAAATGACATTATCTCATAAGCCACTGATTTTTCAATTCCACCTCCCATTTTGGTTCTTCTAAAAAAAAAAGCTTCACCTAAAATCATATTTTTAAATAATTAGCATGTAGATTATTATATTTTAAATAAAATTTGACTAAATTACCTGTTGGTGATTTTTTTCTTTTAGTTGATGCATGAATTGATGAATTTGTTGGCTAAAAAACAAGCTTTCCATATAACATGCTTTTATAAAGTGAGCATGTCCAGTTTATAAAATCAACTTCAAACTCATCAATCTCTTTATCTGAAAGTAGTGGCTTACATAAAATCATATAAAGTCTAAAAAATTCTTTCCGCAGCTTTTCAATATTTTCTCAATAAGTACCAGGAACAAATTTACAAACTGTAAAGTTTTCAAATATCTTTTTCTTACCAGAACCCATTCATTAAAAAAGCCCAGTCCATTTATCTCCAATTGATTTAGATTTAAAAAAATTCAAAATGAACTTTTATATTGTGTTCTATCAATACATCTACAATATGCAAAAATAAAATGTAATTCATCAGGTATATAATCTTTTTTGAATGACCATGTAAAATATTTCAGGTTTTTTGTTTTGCTCAAGTAAATTTTTTGATTTAAAACAACAACAATAATTATTAAAGGAAAAACTAATATGAATTATTGCCAATATTTTCAAAATTTTAATTGACATCTATCAAATCCACAATTACAGTATAAACGAAAATGCATAGAATTAGGAGCATTTAAGCCCATTACAATGTACATAATCTTCCAATTATGCATGCTGTCCAAATCCCAAACTACTTTGTACACCCATAACATTCTGTCTCCCAACCAATAAGTTCCCAGGATTTGTGAAAGTGATCAATGAAAACTCTTACCTACCTCGGTTACACGACAAGTTTTGTTAAGATAAGATTTCCTTATTTTCTACCAATCATGGGGGATTCATGTAACTGAGGTAGGTGTGGTAAGAGTATATATTCGTGATCAGTAACCCCTTTGTTACATTATATGCTTATTGGTTAGGAAAGCGGGGGATCTACATTTGAGATTCCAATCACCAGCAAATAAAGTTTATATTTTCCAATTTATTCCATCTTTATCATGTTTATTTTTAAGTTCATTAAGTTATGTAATTTTCCTACCAATGCAAGCATTTTCATATCTTTCTTTCCCAATATAAAGGCAAATGCTAAAAAAGAAAAATTAAAATAATTAGATTACTTCCTATTATCAATTACTAATATCAAGTTTAATATTGCTTCTTTAATATAATTACCAATGCTGATCCTCTGTTTTAAGACCTCTTCTCTTTAGAAGACAAACAGTAAATATCACATGGCCTGTGGCTGGGTTTCACTCACATTATCAATGAAAAATCCTATAAGAAAACTTTATTTAGAATTGTTTGTTACATGCTATTCAATTCTCCACAAAGAAAAACCTTATTTTCTCCACTCATTCATATTTTTATATTGTTATATTATTTTATATAATGTCATATAATAAATTATTATCATTAAATACAACCAGAAAGAAAAAAATTGTATATAAAATTAATGCTATAGTTAATTCTGATGAAGAAAATGAAAAAGATTATTTTTTTTCATTAGTCAACAAAAACAAGGAACTTTCTGAAAATGAAAATGAATTTTGTAAGGAAAGGTTTATTTATGATTTTGAATTAAGAAGTGTAAAAAATAAAGAAGGTAAGCCAAAAGAATGCAACAATTGTAAACTGACAAGATATTCTGATGGATTCTGTGAAGGTTGTGGATGTTAATGTGGAAAATATTCGCAGGTCATTTTGATATATGTGAAAAATTACAACCACCAATATTACCTGAAATGCCAGCGCAAATGATGGGATGTAGATCCATATAAAAGATAAACTATCAATGAGCCTGATGGATTTGCTATTAATAAACATAACAAAATTCATAATAATAATAATATCATCAATAGTAGTATTGTCGGTGGTTAAATCACACCCAGATGCGTGTTCATAAAAGTAGAATATTAGATGAAGAGATTGCTAAATCTAAAGCTTAAAAGGTTAGGTTATACAAATAATAGTACTCTTTTCTCTAAAATGTTAAAAATTTCATTATTAATTAATTACTATTCATTAATTATTACTAGCAATATTTTTTTATTTACATTTGATTGATCAATAAACATAGTAATGATAGTAAACGAAAGAATTGATTAAACGACTAATTTAATCTCCACTATAAATTTATTCATTATAATTATTTATCTTTTTTATTTTATTTATTTGATTAAACGACGATATTACGAGGTACCATTTCAGTTAATACCGATTATTTTTTTAACAAGTATGCATGATCATGGCTTGATTTTTGGATTACTCTTGTCAGTTAATTGCAAGCAACGCACAATAAT